AGGTGCCCACCTTGCACTTGCACGGCCCTGAGAAAGACTGTCTCCTTAAATTCTCCTCCCCAGGTGTCTCACTTGCCCCGCCCTGTGTTCCTGTGGTAGAGTTTGTAGAGATACCCACCTTACCAGCCAAGGAGGGACACCTCTCAGATCTCCCCGCTTCAAGAAGAACCTGCTATTCAGCTGCAGGGAGCACAGTCAGCTGACAGCCTCCAGCTAGAGAAACTTCAGAATCCGCCTCGACTTTCAAGCCCAGCACGTGCTCTTCTGGGAACCGCAGCCAGTGACGGAGCGTGGCAGGGTGCTGGGGCCTGGCCTTATCCGTCCAGGGGGGGACTTCCTTACCAGGCCATCTTCACTCTGGGACCACTGCTGAGCTGGATGCACCTGTGAGACCTGCACTGTTAACCGAAGAGTCCCCCTGCCCAGTTCTGATCCGTCTCCTTCTATCTCCATCCTCCAATACGCCACTTTCACTGCTAGTTCTGTCTCAGCATCTGCTTCCCAGACCACCGACATGACACACCCAGTGAATAACTGGCCCTACAACTGGGGCTAGACATGAAGTGATCAGCTGAGAGAGGCCTTGGAGCACAGGGGTGAGAAGGCTGGGCTCTGGAGTCAGGGTTCAAATCCCAGCTCCGCCCCTGCTGAACTTGTGCAGGCTTAGAAAAGTTACATAATTTCTCAGCGCCTCAGTTTCCTCATCTGTAGAATGGGATATCGATAGCAAGTAGGACTAAATGAGATAACATATTTAAAGTACTTAGCACAGTGCCTAGCCCATAGTAAATGCTCAAAAAATTAATACTATTGCACAGATTTTGAAATGCTATTTACAGAGGTGGCTGGGTATAATAAAATGGAAGGATGTTTCACTTTCCCTTAGAATTTTCAGCAGAGTGTAATAAAGCTAATGAAGATTAACTGAAAACATTTAAGACACAAGCCTGGGAAGTCCCACGTGGGGCTTCAATTTCACCTCCCGTTATTCCCAACATGGTTCCTCTTCTCCACACAACGGCATCACCTTGTCTTCTCCTCCCACGGTTTACTTCTTCCTTTCTTTCTTTCCTATTCACGCAAAATGTCTACTCTTCTCTTTTCCACCAGTTTTTGCCGGTAATTTCCTTCAAAAAAGAGTAGCTGCTGAGGCTGCTTATGTACAACCAAACACCTCATGGCATTTGGTCCTCAGTTCGGAGGTTTAGGGTCATGGTTTCATGGGACATCCCAGTTAATTGGTCCAATATTGTGTTTAGGTGCTACTGTCCCACCTCCTAACTCATTACGTAGTGCCTGGGGTCTTAAAAGCTTGCAAGCAGCCATCCAAGGTACAACAATTGGTCTCTATTCTCCTGGAGCAACAGAGGAAGGACAGTCAGAAACAGAAGGAGAAAATGGAATGTGTGGCTAACTGCCTCCATGAACAGCTTCCCACTCTGCCATGAGACCAGAAGAACTGGATGATGCCTGGTTACCATCACTGAACGTTTTGATCAAAGATTCTATGAAATAATTATGATCCAAAGGGGGACAATGCAGAACAGAACTTCAATTTCTCATGGAATCCAGATTTTATGGAGCCATAGAGGCTGGATGAACCCCTGAAACTACTGCCCCGAGATACTCTTTAAACCTTAAACCAAAACTATCCCCTGCAGTCTTCTCAAAAAGAAGTAATAGTTTAGCTTAACTAGTAAGCAATGTCTGCCTTGAGCATTGAGCTCTTTAAGATCTATCTTTATGAGATCAAACCGACAACAGAAACTTGAAAGATTAGACAGGAACCTTAGGGGCCAGTGAGGAAGGAGCAACCCAGAAAAGGAGGGTGAGAATGGCTGCACAACCGGAAAAATGTAATCAGTGTCACTGAAGTGTACGTGCGAAAATTGTTGAACTGGTGTATGTTCTGTGTGTATATTCTCAGCAACAACAAAAATAAATCATGAAAAAAAAGCTTAAAAAATTAATTAAAAAAACTTGGTTCAGAACTCACCTTCTCCCTGACCAGAATGCCCTCCTCTCCCTCAACTGTAATCTTTCATCTCTGCTGGCAAACCCTAAGGATTGTACCACTTTGAAACTAGATAGAACCAAAAGGAATGCAGTTCTCAACCCACACTGAGGGTGGCTATGCCTCCTAAGGAAACCCCGGTGGCGCAGTGGTTAAGCACTCAGCTGCTAACCAAAAGGTCGGCAGTTCAAATCCACCAGCGGCTCCTTGGAAACCCTATTGGGCAGTTCTACTCTGTCCTACAGGGTCGCTATGAGTCGGAACCAACTCAACGACAATGGGTTATATGCCTCAGTAACTGTCATGAGGACACAGCAGGAACAGCACGTCCTGTTCATCTAACAACAATCCCCTCCGCACTCACCCGTCTGCCCCCAAAGCTAGGAGGTGGCGTGCCGCTGCCATGCTCTAGGAGATGGCGTGCTGATTCCATGCTCAATAAACACTTACTTAAAGAATGAATATTTTTAGCTATGGATACATGGTCAGTCTACAAACCATTTTTTTTTTTATATCATCTTTCTAGATGTGGGCCTTAAGAAATGAAATGTTTGGTAAGACCATCTCAGACATCCAATGGAAAAGCTACTGTATGGGGGAACCATTTTACAATCATCTTAGGTATTGTGGGTAATAAAAATCTGTTCCATATAATAAAAGCCTGGTCTATCACACATCTGAAAGCCAGCAGGAAACCATAATTAGAGACAAACAGCAAACATGGCACTCTTTCCTCTCACTATTTAGTACGTACAATATTCCCGACAAAATGGCACTGAATGTTTTCCTGTTACCACACTGTGCCACAGAAGCTCACAAAGAGAAAACCTCTTCTTACAGCTGTGAAACTGACTTCAAACAAACAGCCAACTTCAAAAGTAATGTGAAAGCGTTTTGTCATATGGTTGAATGCAAAGAATGTTTTTACAGAGCTTAGTATTTTTATATGTGCATACTGCAATACATACAAAAAAGTGTTTCTGAATCTTTAGCCATCCTGTACATTTAATCGGAAACTCTCATCAAGATACTCACATCCAAAGGTGAGATTCCAAAACTGAACAGGCTACAACCTGAGGGGTAGTTATAATACTGGAAATGAACAGTAGTTAAAATAAAAATCAGTTAACCACAGAGCAAAACATGAGTATAGCATTTCTAGCCTATACAGGTTTTTAATGGTGTCTAATATAATATGCCCTTTCAAGGAGTCATCTCTGCATATTGAAATGCATTTTTACTGTACTACTTTGAGCAATTATGAATTGAACATGGTTGACAAAATCAGCAAAGTTATATATGTATATATATGTTGAAATACACACAATGCTCTGTAAGTACACCGATCTGTAATTGTTAAAATATTAGATCTCAAACACTAAAAAGTGAAAGCAGTTTTCACACTGACTTTCAAGAATATATATATTTTTATTGTTACAATTCAGTAAACTACCGACGTTTAGAATTGTCCCCAATTCTAAGCAAATAAAAATCATTTGTTTTATGATCAACATCATGAACCGTAAGTCATTGATAGCCAAGATAAAATAATTCACCGACTTGCCACCTCATGTTAAATACAGTGAGGAACTGCATCGAGATGTCGTTAACTCTATCGTGTCCTGTTACACTGAACAAGTTAATATTTAAGATGCTTCCATTTTCAAATATCAATACCTACTTTACCTCTAGAATACCCACTTGTGAAAATCTATTTTATTCACTTTTTCAGAAAACTACTAGCTCCACCTACTTTTCTTTATGAATAATATCTGACGTGCTGTATTATTATCACCTTCACAACAATTAGTGATTACTGATCTCTCAAAAAGCAAGGACATAACTGGACGTGAAAGGATGATCATAATATGGAGAAAAGACAGCAAGTTTCTATTGCACAAGTGAGCACTGCTCAAGGCAAGTTGTTTTTCTTAAACACATAACATGTTGTGATCATCATTAGCTCACCACCACAGTTAAAAACATACCTACACATATTCCAAAATAAGTCTTTTAAATGAAGTATTGGAAGCCTCTTTCTCGCTGAAGGACTTGAAATAGCATTTAAGCCTGACCCTTAAATCACTCCTTTCTGTAACCAGAAGAGCCAGTCCCGAGCATTTAAACCTCACCCAATGAGACAAGGGATCCTGAATGTACTATTAATTGCTAAGTAATCTCTGAATTTTAGAACCTGGAGTCTAACACTGACAGATAAATAACGTGACTGATGAGCCGACACCCTCGTCCTGCTTTACTGGAGTTCAGTAAACACACGCACACCCTGAATGTACCGGGCGAACGTGACTCCCACAAGCCTGAAAACATTGCAGGAAGTGGCGAGAGCAAACCTACCCCGTCTACTTCTTATTCAAGCACTAGTATTTAGAATACCTAAAATGCCTGCTGAACACCGCAGCTCAACATCCCCTCGGGCTTACTCCGAAGCAGAACCACATCTCTTCCCTCAGTGATTGCTGAGTTTGAAGAAGGCAGGTAACGGGGGAGAATGCTTGTGTAGTGGCAAGATAACTCTTCTCTCCAAATTCTCAAAAGCCAACACCCCCCCACCCCTCCCCCACACACTCACCTTTTTTTAAGAAAGAAAGCAAGGCTTTTAAAATAGGTGTTTAAAACATACCATTTGCAGGGGGAAGAAAAATGTATTTTTCATCTACTTCCTGCTGATGTGTGGGATGTTTACAGATCCTATACATTAAAAGTACTGCTTTCAATGAGATTCCTTTAGGGAAATCTGCCTTGCTGACATGTGTACATAAATAATACATATCTATACACACATGCCCACATTAACAAGGACATACACACACCCCTAGACCAACGATTAAACCCACACCGTTCTACAGCCTCCTTTTGACATTTTTTAGCATGCATGTTATTCAGAAGACAGATTTATAAAAAAAATAATACACAGCTGCATGGAATGCATGCCCAAGTGGCTTGTTCAGAGGAGCAGATACATTACCAGCCGCATTGTGAAGTTTCTGGAACACCGGCAGGTGAGAGGAGGCTGTGAATCAGATGCTGGCACACGGTGTTGCTCAGAATCCAGAGCTCGATGTGACTGTGGGGGAGTGTGGGGCGAGCGAGCGGGAGGCTGGAAACCTTTCAGCTGAGCTCACTCCAGGCGTCAGAGAGGCTCAAAGAGGGGAAAGAAAAAGGCAGCCCACAGACAGCTAGATGCGAAACTTCTGGCACCTCTCCAGTTCAGGAATGAAGTCTCTGTAATTTGGACATGTGTAGAGATGGAAATGAAGAGAAACTTGGATTTACGGATGCATTTGCTCAGCCATGCAGAAATGGACAGGTAGCAGTCTCCCAGCTCATTTTAAAACAGGCATTCAGGAACCAACTGAATCACAAAATTAACAGGCATCCTTTTTTGAAAAAAGAAAAAGGCTACTCCAGCCAGCTTCACAAGATGCCTTTACAAACTTCAAATGGATCATTCCATCAGCTATTTTATTAATCCTAGTGCAGAGGTAAACTGGAAAATCTAATTCCTTTTATGTAGAAAACTAGATTTACCGCTTCTTTTTATAATGCACTCTAGATATATAAATACATAGATTTACTTACAGAGTTTTCGTTTCTTGTGTAAAACCACCACTGTTTGGCCCAGATAAAATGCTAAAAGGTTTGTTCGCAGCTTTTCAAGGAAGTGGAGAAAAACTGTTTTAATACTCAGAAGCTGAGCTGAGAACCGATATTCCAGTGCAGTTTGCAGCAGACAGTGTAAAGGAAGAGCTCCGGCCCATTCGGGGGCACATGAGAGATACGGGGATACACGAGCATTGAGCAGGCAGGTGGCTCAAGTCTAAAACACATACATAACTGAGGAAGAAAAGAGCGTGGGCAAATCAAGTTCTTAGAGACAATAGCTGTGATTTTGTTTAGGCTTACAAACAGGCTCATCACTTCTGGAGAGCTGTGGACTTCACCTTGTCTGAGGAATTCTCAAACCTCACAAATGGCAGCGCATGAGGTCGGCAGGCACCGCACACTGGCAATCTATATTCAAATATAATGAGGAGAAGGATGGTGTTACCATGAAGAATGTTGTCATATTACATCGGGCCTGTGTGGCCTAACTACTCATCCAACCTTGCAAATGACCATTTGCCTGGACTCAACAGCAAATGTGCCATCGATGGGAGGGAGGAAGCGGGAGGCCCGTTTTGTTTGTTTTACTGCGTGCGCACCTTTGGGAGGCTCGGGATAAAATGCTGGGCTAGCCGTGGGAGGAATTCTTTACAAGCCCACATTCCTCTATAATAAATTCAAAGTGGAATTAATGATGACCCATTAAGCTATTTATTATTTTAACTCTTGAGGTCAAGGGCAGAGCAGTGTTTATGTGTACTGAGAATCAACGGCAAGACTCCTAAAGAAGGCCAGGCCCACCTCTCAGCATGCTCAACAAACACATGCCAACTGAGGCTACTCCAATCCTCCGCACATCCCAGCGCCCAGTCCTCTTAGGCTCTAGGGTATGTTTTCCTATCGCTGCACTGCTAGCTTCGTCACCCATTCACTCAACAAATATCTACTGAATAAGACACTCCGTCAGACGCTGTGGGGAACACAGTGGCACTTAAGACGAGACCCTCCCTCCAGGAGCTTACCATCACCAGAAAATGGGCTGTGGTAGGGGACAGGCCAGGGACATTGGTGGTTCAGCAGAATTCCATATGGGAGAATGGGGCTCGATTCCCAGCCAATGCGCCTCAAGTGCAGCCACCAGCCATCAGCAGAGGCTTGCGTGTTGCTATGGCGGAGTCCCTAGGTGGTGCAAATGGTTAATGTGCTCGACTGCTAACTGAAAGGTCGGAGGTTCAAGTCCACCCAGGGGCATCACAGAATAAAGTCCTGGCACTCGACTCCTGAAAAACAGCCCTCAAAAATCCTATGGATCACAACGGTCCTATCCAGAAAAGATCATGGGGACGGATGGCACAGAACCAGGCAGCATCTCGTTCCACTGTGCAGGGGGTCCTCGTGAGTCGGGGACCCCATGGGTTGGGGGCTGACTCAACGGCAGCTAACATCAACAGCAGGGGATAGACACACCAGAACTAACTTCTAAAATACTCGTGCTCACCACCAGCTCATCTTCCACTTTGGATTCGCTCTTGGTGGAACAAGACAAGCAGAACATGCACATGTATTTTGAGAAAGTCTCCCCAGGTGATTCTGATTAAGTCCCCGCCACTACCCAAGTGGTTAAACGTTCAGCTGCTAACCAAAAGGTCAGCAGTTCGAATCTACCAGCCGCTCCTTGGAAACCCTGTGGGGCAGTTCTACTCTGTCTTATAGGGTCGCTATGAGTCGGAATCGACTCGATGGTAACAGGTTTGGTTTTTTTGGTCTACCCTATAAGAGCAACTGCAATGCAAGATGATTGTTACAAAATCCTCTAGCACTTAAGAAGAGGGTGTCCCATCCACCGCTGCCTGCCAACTCAATACACACCACTCAAGCTGATCCACTCTTCTGGGTCTCTGCTGACCCTCCTCCATGGGAAAGGCCCGCAGTTAACCAGTTTCTCCCAGAGTCAGGGTCTGCACGACTCTGAACAGATTTGGAAACCGGTTTCAAAACTGAAGGCAAGACAACGTCCAAATCTTTTGGTTCATTCATGCACTCTTATCTGGGCCTGCTTCGTGTGTGCAGAGTGAACCATCAGGGCAGGCTGTGAGTCTACGATTCCCCTGTACCACGGCAACATTGACGCAAGGGCCACCTGAGGTCAGAACTCAGACGTCCCAACTTGTACCATCCTACTGCTTAAAGGCACCCAGTCAGCAGATCACATCCAGTGAGCGGTGATTTCAGCCTGGGAAGCTAGGTACCCAGATTCAGTACCACTTCTCCAAGAGGACACGGCTGAGGAATCCAGGGCATGAAACAGCATATTATCTGCCAATTCCCTCCACCTTTGCACCTGCCTCAGCTCTAGAGGACCCCTAGTCAGGGGGGAGATCCTAAACACCTGAGCAAAGTGGTCACAGAGGGGATCCATGTGGATCCCCTTTAAACTCATGTGGGCATCCGGGGGGTGAGTTCAGCACCCACAGCACAGCTCCCAGGCCTTAGCTCCTAAAGCCAGAGGTGCTAGGGGAGAACAGAGCCTTCACACCTCAGACAGCCAGTCTGCCTACCTCCTGTCAACACAACCTCGTTCTATGACCGTAAGCCCGCCCACTGCAAAAAACAGAATGGCTCAGAGGAGAGTGCTCACCTCAGCCTCTGCCCAGCCCCCACCAACTGCCCTGTGCTCAGCAGCATCTCATGCATCAGGAGGAACACAACCTTGGCAAGTAGTTGAAGACAAAGCTCCAAGTCCAGGGAGGGAGACAAAAGTTAAATAAGTGCCATGAATAATTGGAAACGTAAAAGTTAATTCATAACAATCTTTCTAGTTCCTTGTTCCTAGCAGCCCAGCAATGTCAAGGGCACAAATGGAAGAAAACGTCGTGTGGCTGCTTCGAATCATCACCTTCAAACCTCTCCCCGTGCGCAGTCCCTGTCGAGCTGGCCCTCACCAAGTGGTGGGTCTCTCCCCGGGCGCGGTCCCCGTCGGGCAGGCCCTCACCAAGCAGCACGTCTCTCTCCCCGGGCGCGGTCCCCGTCACGCTGGCCCTCACCAAGTGGCGGGTCTCTCCCCGGGCGCGGTCCCCGTCGGGCTGGCCCTCACCAAGTGGCGGGTCTCTCCCCGGGCACGGTCCCCGTCGTGCTGGCCCTCACCAAGTGGTGGGTCTCTCTCCGGGCGCGGTCCCCGTCGGGCTGGCCCTCACCAAGCAGCACGTCTCTCTCCCCGTGCGCAGTTCCCATCGCGCTGGCCCTCACCAAGTGGCTGGTCTCTCCCCGGGCGCAGTCCCCGTCGGGCTGGCCCTCACCAAGCAGCATGTCTCTCTCCCCGGGCGCGGTCCCCGTCGGGCTGACCCCAGGAGCTCTCTGATCTGCCCTCTCAGGCCTTTCCACCCCACAGGCAGAACGTTCTGGTTCCTGGCCTTGCTGCTTTACATCCAAGCCGTCCGAAATGCAGTAATGCTGTCTTAAAGAGCAACGGGGATTTAATTACAGTTCCAGGGATCCAGCCAAGGATATTTTTCTAAAAGAAGAGCAATATCTGTTTCTGGAGACAGAATATTTCGTACCAGAGACCTCATATACTGCAATAAATGATAAATACTGACACGGATTGTACCTCTCGGGAACCTGAGTGTGGGGCGGATGCGTGTGGTGTGCCTGTGTGTGCACATGTGTGCATGTGTGTGTGCATGTGCGCGCTCGTGTGTGCTCATGTGTGCATGCGTGTGCTCATGTGTGCATGTGTGTGCTCATGTGTGCATGTGTGCACGTGTTTAATGCGCATCCTCTCATCCTGCGTAATGAGGACCAAGACAGGGATACAAACGCTCTCCAGTTACTGAAACCATTCAGATGTGTGAGGTAGACCATCGACGGAGCAACATAAGGCCTGTCTCTTAATTGTAGGAGATTACCTTTTGTTCTCCCTGATGGTCCCCTCCGATTTAAAAGGCTCTGGCTACAAGACTCCCATCAAATATCATGACATGAGAACTCAGCTTCTGGAAGTGCTGGTCAGCGGATGTCTGCCACACACCTAAATCCAGGGAGGGACCCCATGGGACTCTGCATTTCCACATCACCCACATTCAGTGGTAGATGGTTGTAAAATAAAACCAGCTCCCTTCTGATATCATAGCCGGCCATTTGGCAAGATTATTCTACATGTGAGTTCTGTTTTTTTTTAAAATAAATTCACGCTTGCTACTTGGCAAAACCCTGACAATCCTCACTCACCAAGCCAGTCAGCAGCTACAGGAAGTGGGCTCCAGAGGCACCCAGATCCCTTCACGATCCTGAAACGCTGACATGCACATCATTGTGGGCAGGGCACAGTCGTGTTCATTTCGGGCACATCTGGGAGTGCTCTGACATTGTGAAATGGAAGTATCAGTGGGAGACCCATCAGGAGCTGGCAGGCCAACACAGGCAGAAGGGCCAGAAGCTTGGAGGCTTCTGGTGTCTTCCCATCCCCAGAGGCCATGGCACTGCTGTGGGGCCAGCAACACAGATGTTTCCCAGCCCAGGCGGCTGAAGGGCAGACCACCATGGATCTGCACATGAAGGCTCAGCCAAAGCACTGGCTGGGCGCCATTCCTGGGCCATGGACTTGGAGCAGGAAGCTGGGGTGATGGTATGGAGCCTCATTTCCTGTGACATTATGGATGCTATTTCTCTGGATCCAAAGGGCAAAGGCTAAGGAGGTGATTTTATAAGTAGGTGACAGGCAATGCCATGCCAGATCTCAACCCCAAACACTTGTTTATCTAAGAGAAAACTGATATGACCTCCCCGCTCTGGTAAACCATCAACAATTAGGCTAAATTAACCCTAACCTAACGTTCAACATCAATTCCATCTGGTAATTTTATAAGACAC